TCTTTACCATTTTACAATGACATAGCATGCTGTGGCTCGATGATGTCTGGCAAAACCACCACCGATTTCTCTCAAACTTAAATCACGCACCTGGTCAGCATGCATATGAGGCCAACGCATCCCTATAGGTGGTGGCTACTTCCATCTATGTCCTTATCGTCTGCAACACCAAACAACGCAGCTTTAGCGAGCCAAGATTTTGAAAGATAATGCAAAATAAATTCCTAAGTAACTTCTAAGAGAAATTGGTTTATTATAGTTTGTATTTATATATGTATGCAATTATATAGATAAATGGGTGTGTGTGTGTCCATTGAGAAAAAAAGACAAAACTAAACTCGCCAATAAGAAAAAAAAATTTTAGAAATCACCTACAGCTTAAAAAGGAGAACGGTCCAGTCCCTAAAAGAGTCCAAATCTTTCATGAACAACGGCAAAAGAATCACCAAACCTACATCCAATCAAATGCAAGTTAACTTTCAAATAAACCTCCACGATATGCCGTGAGCTACGAATAAATGTTTACAAGCGTATACATGTTTACAAGCTTTCCTTGTTTTGGTCAGAGATTTTTAGGGTCAGGGTTAGTTGGAGATAATCTATTTCATTGCAAAGTAGATAGAACAACAAGACAACAACATTTGATGCTTTGTAAAATAGAGAACCATCTTCCGTTGAATGATCAGCCAAATTTCAGTATGATTTTCTTTTCTGCTTAATATATAGTACGAAAAGATTGAGAAAAAAATGAACACTTCATGCAAGGAAAAAAAAAAAAGTTGACAGAGAAAAGTTAAATATAAATATTGTCTATTATTAAATGGCGACCGAGATTCCATATCGCTTGGCTTGTGGAGCTATGCCCTCCCCATCGCTTCAATACCCTTAGCCACATGTCGGTCACTTTCTATAGCTTGTGTGTTTTTGACGACGCTATGTATATAGTAGTAGACAAACCAATTGCTTCGTATGAACATAGTCAATAAAATGGCTTGACTCAAACCAGTTTATTATGAATATTTGTCGCATTCAAGACTTTGTCTTCATACCCTAGACTTGTCGGCAAACCCTTATTATCTTCTCCAATAATAACTTACAGAAACCATCTTATTATATAAAGCTTGGTTTTCAAAGTTACTAATTAACATGATCGCGACACATGGCGATTATATATTTAAGATTATGACATGTGTTAAATAACAATTTTTCTTTTAAACCAAGAGTTTTATAGTTAGTTTTACTTTTTCAAAAATCTTAAACATAAACTTTAAAATGTTAGTTTTCCTTTTTAAACAATCTTAAACAAAAATTGTAAAAATTATATTTCCATATAAATTATATTTAATAAAATGTTTCCTTTTTAAAAAATCTTAAACAAAAATTGTAAAAATTATATTTCCATATAAATTATATTTAATAATAGTTTCTTTCTTTATAGTTATTAAATAAAATCTTATTATATAAAGCTTGGTTTTCAAAGTTACTAATTAACATGATCGCGACACATGGCGATTATATATTTAAGATTTACTGTACACAATTTATTGTTAAAAAGAAAATTTGGTAAAGAGTTTTATAGTTAGTTTTACTTTTTCAAAAATCTTAAACATAAACTTTAAAATGTTAGTTTTCCTTTTTAAACAATCTTAAACAAAAATTGTAAAAATTATATTTCCATATAAATTATATTTAATAATAGTTTCTTTTTTTATAGTTATTAAATAAAAGGATTATAAAACATGGAAATTATATATTTAAGATATGACATGTGTTAAACAGGTTTTATTTAAACAAAAAACTTAACCCAAAAGAATATAAAAATATTCTAAAAAGTTAACTTTCCTTTTTTTCCAAATTCTTATACAAAAAACGTTTTTAATATTTCCGGATAAATAAATTTTTAATAATGGTATTTCTTTTATCAAAAAAAAAAAGATTTGCAAAAGGATTTATTTAGTGTTAATTTTCCTTTTCTTAAATCCTAATGGAATGATAAATGTAAAAAAAACATTTGCATATCAATGTTAACAATGGTATTTCTTTAATAAATTTAAAAATATTATAAAATCCATTTAAAAATCAATTTAAATGTTAACAATGATTAATCAATTTTAACAATGGTATTTCTTTTTTAAAACATGGGTTTAAGATAATTACAAGCTTGGTTTTCCACAGTTGCTAATTAATATGACTGCGATACATGACAATTATATATTTAAGATTATGATATGTGTTAATAATAGTTTTTTTTTAAAAAAACCTAAACCAAAAGAATATAAAAATAATCTAAAAAGACAATTTTCCGTTTTAAAAATTCTTAAAAAAGAAATTTTTTAATATTTCCATATAAATAAAATTTTAACAATAGCATTTCTTTTTTTTTAAAACATGGTCTAAGATAAGTAACACTAAACATTATTTTAAGATAAATTTCTATACAAATTAAAATATTTACGAAATATTTTTCTTATAAATATTTAATAGTATTTTTCCTATTAAAATATAACCAAAGAGAATTGTAATACTTTAGATAAATATAGTCAAACGTGAATACATATAAAGAAGGTAAAAGTGTTGGATATATA